TGGCAGAAAGAACCCCAAGACTCAGCATAAACTCGCGTTTGTCGAGAAACATGTCAACGCTAGCATCTTTGTATCCGCGATACTCTCTCTGAATCCAACACCTTCGAGCGTATTCTTCGCAGCAAAGTCCACTAGTACAGTAGACCAAGGTACAGTTTTAGTCAGTTTTCCTATTCATAGCTCACCATCGTCTTCACCGAGAGTCGAGAATTCAATTACTCCCCCCGCGGGAGAAATCATGGGCCCTGTGCTCCAAACCGATATTCCTTCCAAACGGCGACCTCCATCACGCCCGAAAGAAAAATCCGATCCCCCCTTTGAAACATCAACAAATTTTGGAGTGCAAGGAGATGATGGGAACAGTCCTAGTCGCACACCGCGAAACATTCGTCAGAACAGGACAGATGCAACGACAATGGGTGTAACATCGCCCGTTTCACCTTCGGAGCGCGTCAAGACCGGGTACATCAACAACCACGGAATGGATGACGAACATAGCACAGAATCCTATCACCATCATAGTATCAGGTGGAAGATGGGTATGGTTAAGCTGACTTTGTCCTCCTCAGTTTTTTCCATGTAAATATCTAGCTGCTGTGACTACCATTTTCCCCTCCTTAGCTCCCCCTGACATATCCAGGAGGAGGGTCCGGGGGTTTCTGATCTCCACCCCATCAGACATGTTTGGGTATTTTTACTACTTGTTCGACGACAAAATTATCGCAACGACGGGATCGTAAGTTACTATTCAACACGAAGTATTAGAAAATAATGACGCCTAAATGAGTTTCCTATTCCTTTTCAGTCTATAGGACCCAATGGTTACAAAAAAAATTTGTTTTCTGAATCAAAGCTAGCACCTCCCTCCTAACAAAAATTCCTGGATCCGCCCCAGGGTGGTTGGATGACGTTGTCTCCCGAGTCTCTAAGGGAGGCACTAAGGCGTGGGGGAGGGGGGAGGGGGGTTATCGATTTTCTTCCTGGCTTCAGTTGACGGTGATGAAAGTTCACAAAGAAGTTCTTTGCGCATTTCTTCAGATGCTCGAAGGGGAAGTGAAAAGCTGGTCGGTAATTTTGCTTAGGAAACCAGATACACTGGGATAAAAAAAAAACGACTAATGTTAAGAACATTTGCGCGCTTTTTTGAGCATACAGTTATGCCGAACGTTAAGTTTGCTAACTCGACCTTGTCTTCGGATATTTCAATATCTCTGATATTTTAGGCTATTTTTGACGGTCTTTTTCCGTTTTTGTTTTTTTGGATACTGACACAGCAACATTGGTGGTCACCAGCAAAAAGGGACATGTAGAAGTGGACATCCCCCTTCCAACAGAGGAAGTCCGGGCGTCAGACTCTAAACCTGACGGAGGTGTGCTTCAATATTCTCGACACTCGCTTTGGATAGTAGCAGCATTGGTTTCCGTTGCCGGTCTTGCGATGATAATTTTATTCCTCAAGCGATGGAAGCATCCAAAGAAAACCAAAGGTAAAAGGTCTGGATGTCTTGTAGCAGACTGTGCACAATATTTCACCCGGCTGAGGAATTTAGTTACTTATTGAATAAATCCCTTCGGGTGGCTTGCATGTCGGCTGATAATGTGCAGGGCTGAGAAATGAGACGAGGCTTCGAAGGCGAATATGAAATTTTAAGGACAATCTCGTAGCTAAAGACATTATCAGCCGAAAATCCAGCCAGCTTGAAGGGATTTCTTCATTTTTTATTTACAGCAAATTATGTTGTGCATGCGCATGAACTTTTGTGTGCAATGGATAAAAAGACATCCGAAACTGAAGTCAAAAGTAATCATTTTTAATGATAATAATTGCAAAAACCTAATATACTTCCAAATGATTCTAAGGGGCTAATGAAGGACCCTTTCACCCCTGAGATTTCCACTCATACCCTCTCCTATTGCTCCAGGATATGCTAAAGACGTAAGGCATGGTAATTAGTAGATTGTGCTCGAGTATGGAAAAGTTTACTTATATTTAAGGAAGTTGTCGTTAAATATATGAATAAAAATTTTGTTTATGGATGTAGTTTTGATGTATTTTAGTTAATATCTATAAATCTTTCCGCCACAAACGCAGCACAGTTAAGTCTCTTTGCCTACAGGGTGTTCCTTCAATTGTCCTCGTCCAAACGTTGACTGAAGACGCCCTCCACGCTGTGGGCAATCGTCGGAGTGTTGTAATAGGGCTTCTATGTCAAGCGCTTCAGGAGTTTACACGGAACAGGTATAGTGATCGTGGGTTCGCCCTCGATATTGCCCTTCCTTAACTTTGTTGGCATTTCATTGCGGTAATTTTCAAAACTTAGCCTTCGCTTATCTAACTGATAGACTGAGGCCTCCACAAGATCAAAGTACACCGAGGAAGATGAAACAGAAGATACTTTACCAACTTCCAACCCAATTCAGTACATTTTGCCAAGCTCTGAAAGTAATCTTGTGGTCGCAGATGTTCATCACTCCTTGCAATTTGATGAGCCTGGCACTAGGTAGGTGGGGAAGCGAGTGCTGATTCAGTTCATTTTATTTTTTGTTTTAGTTTTTGTTTTTTTTTTTTTTCTGGGGCACATAATTGAATCGATAAAGGAGTGAAGTGGACTTGGCTTCTCGTTTATCCTTAGATTCTGACGACTTGCTACAATATATGATGAAAGCTACTACTTTGCTATAGCTAACGCTAGAAATGTTTTGGAATCTCTTGCTGGTGGCAATTCTACATCATAAACTCAATTGATAAAACCAAATTATCTCGCAATACCCCCACAGGCGCAGCACTATAGTTTCTTTAGAAATTTACTCCTTTGTTTCCTTTGTAGGAACAGTTTTACCCTAGGTTGTCTCGTCGTTGAGGTTGATTTAAACAGATAGTTTCCTCATAAGAGGTCCAAATCACAGTTTCCACCATATTACCAAATAAAAATCGATCCCTTTACCCACAGGTCGCCTAGATACATAACGGAAGCACAGGCCAAGTTCGACAGCTCTGGTGGAAAGCTTTCCGCGCCGGACTCTGATGTAGTTATCACTGTAGGGAGTGGAGCTGTTCCCGAGGGAAGAGAACAGCCCTTTTTCTTTCGCGTGCCCAAGTATGATTCTACCCTGTTGCAGGATATCTCGGAAATGCCCGAAGGAAGACTAATTTCCCCCGTTATCGAGTGTGGACCTCACGGCCTAACCTTGCTCAAGCCGGTGGAAATCACTGTTCCACATGATCTGTGCTTGGACGAGGTCAGGAAAGACTGGATAAGGGTTTACAGATGTGAGCCATCCTCTCAAGGTAACTATAAATCGCCATGCAAAAGCACTTTTCATCAAAAGTGCTTTTATGCGCACATGGGAGTGGCACAGGGGCGTTATACAGCTCAAAACCCATCAGAAAGCTGAATTTGGGCAATGGACCGACCAGAACGCAGGAAGAACCAAACAATATGGCCGACTCGATTTGTCACTCAATCTTGTCAGCCTGAGAACGTAAAAAGTTGATTCGAACTTGAGGTATGGGAACACCTCCTAAATTTTCAACTTTTTGTGATGGTAAGGTTTGAACAGATACAACGAGCAGATTTTAATCTCATCTCCAGACAACTAGTAGCTGGTTCAACTCATTTGACCAGAGCATATAAAAGTCATTGCCATGGTTTACTAGTTTAGGAAAGCATTTTTCCGGGACTTTTATATACTTGCATCAGTATGTTCTCGTATTGTCATCATTAGTATGATCCTTTCTCATGGGCAGTCAATTTTCTACAACCCATCCACCCCTTTTTATGCTCCGTTGGCGACGAATGTCCCCCCTCCTCCCTCTGAGAACCATGAGATACCCCTCAAATCTTTCGCTTCCCCCCCCCGCCCCTCCACCACAAATAATGACTGGTCCCTAAAGACATTGTCTCATGAATCATTTTCAAGGGCCGCTAAAGTGGGAGAAAGTTCCTCCAGCATCAGAAAAAAATTGCCGATCCAAAGCATGGTTTACGGTAAAGAAGAACTCTATTCAAATCAAGACAACAACATTTTCCATATGGAGCGTTTTTGCTTGTGGCGGAACGAAGAGGAAAAGAGGGAGAGTGTACTACAGCAAACATGACTCAAGAAGCGAACACATTTACCTACGCTTCTACATTTACAGTGACAATGAAGATTCAAAGAAGGTATGTCGTAAACCGAGTGGTCAGAAAAATGGTCAGTAGCATAATTAACTCAGAGGGCGGATCTAGGGGAACGGTGCTGGGGCGTTTACCCTCCCCCCTCCCCAGTTGCGTTACTTATTAGGAAATAATGCTTTGCAGTGAGAAATTCATAACCCCTTTAAAAATCGACATCTGAGGCATCCATCTACCATATTTCCAGTGTTTTCAGAATTGTCGGAAAACTCTTTGTGGCTAGCCTGTTCCAGGCCGGTGATCAGTTGGTAAAACGGAATAAAATAGTCAACGGCGCGACAGCAGCGGCGAGCGAAAAATGCAGGAGACCTGGGTCGGGTCGTGTGAAGGAGGGAAACTTGGGTTGAGTGCACTTTGTACTACTTGTTACTCTGTTATATTTGGATTAATACTTGTGTTGAGATTTGTTTTGTAACATCTTAAAGAGGGTCTCAATGGGATTAGCCGATAGCTGTAAAATGGCCCAAAAAATTAGCCATTAGGAGTAAGAACTGACAAATATTAACTGGTGACAAAAATGGATGATATCAACATTCAGCCGTAAAATGGCTAAAATATTCACCATAAGCCGTAATTAAAGCCATCACCCCATCGAGACCCTCCCTAAATGGTAATCCATGTGGTTCGATTCTTATTTGACAAGCGAGTGAAAGAACAGGAGAAAGAGTCTTTTCCCAACTCGAAACCATCAAGGGAGAAACCGTTTAAGATGAACGACGACGAAAAAGATGTTATCGTGAAGCTCACTGATCTTCAAGACGGTTGGGAACTGGACAAGACTCCCAGTGAACAGGTATTGAGCAGATCTGAACATGTAATGCAAACGAACCCTGTGATATAACCGCTGGACATTGAAAATTATTGCATGTCGCCTTCTTAGATTTTCTTTTAACTCTTGAATTCCCCCC